AAAAAAAAATGAAGATGCAAATAGAATTTCAACACAAAATGGGACTTATTGCTGACTACCCAAAATGTGAAGGATCTGGAAACTCAAATGACAGCAATACTGCTCGAAAAGCTTTTTCAAATGAAGACTTGTTTGCTGATATTACAGGAATAAACAAGGAACTTATTTTAAAGTTGCATACAATCCTAATTTGTATATCAAGTGGATTTCAAATAGATACTAGTAAGTTTCGCTTACTTTGTCTGGAGACCGCAAAAACTCTACTCATGTTTGTACCATTGGTATTGCATGCCTCATAGTCTTCACAAGATATTAATCCATGGAACAGAAGTAATAGAAAATCTATTCTTACCAATAGGTCGTTTAGTGAAGAAGCTCAAGAAGCTAGAAATAAAGAATTTAGAAAACATAGGGAACATCATCCTCGTAAAAATTGAAGAACAAAGACAATCGAAAATGTAACGAACAGACTTTTATGCACATCTGATCCAGTTGTTTCATCTTATTGAAAAACTGTTTAATCTGTAAAAAATAAATTTCTTCCAGGTGTCTTTGAACTTTTTATTTGCAAAAATTCTACGTTTTAGAGTATAGATATATCTAGTTCGTAATGTTTTATTGTAATTAAACCAAAAGATAAAATTTTTTAGCAAAATATATGAGCTTGATATTCATTTTATATAGTTTGTATAATAAATTTATAAAAGTTTAAATTAAAAAAATTAAAAATAATTTTGGCACAAAAAACGCGATTTTATCCAACTGTGATCTGGGCAAGTTTTGCAACATCGGTTGGGACGGAGGCGTGAACTTCCTATTAAATGCTCTTCCGCGATGCTCTGTGATAAGACCGTAAGGACTTCTTGGGTCACATTAATCATCTTTTTTTTTTTTTTTTTTTTTTTTTTTTTTTTTTTCAACACAAGTATCCGTATATATTTCAATAAAACAAAATTACCTATTTTTACATATAAGTACAAAACGTACAATTAAACATTTTTTGTACCATTAAAATTTTTACAAGACAAAAGAAATTTAAAATTCTGTTTAGCGCATGCGCGTTGTTTAGTGTACAAAATAAGGTAACTATTCGTTTTTTATAATATAAAGTGCTGGCTATTAACCCATGCATTTAAAAAATATATGCAAGTCCGTCGTACCACAGAGCTACTAGGGACTTGCTTGTGGACGTTGTTGAATATATATATATAAAATTAATCTTAAAAAAATATTTTTCTTTGTTGTAAGGACACTCGCACTAAAATAGTCTTTTCATCGAGAACCTTTAAAACATAAAATAAACTTTAATGAACAAGTTCAACAAATACACATAAGTATTTTGGTATCTACTATATAGTAGAAGTAGTAGGGCTTTTTATTATTACTATTTTTCCCAAATTGTTTAATACATTTCGATGAAGTTGGTTAAGTTAATTATGATATGTTTTAGATTTTTTTTCAGAGCAATAAGGTTATCCATTTTATTAAGTTCCATATTTTGAAGTATTATTTTGTTATGTAAGTATGGGCCACGGTATATAAAAGAAAATCACGAGAATTTTGTTTTTTTTAAAGGCAGGGTGAAGTTACCTGTTCCTCGTGTGATATATTTGTTTGCGTTGATATGAAAAAAGCTATCAGTAAAGTATTTTGGAACAAGTCCGAGTTTGTATTTTAGCATGAATAAGATATTTTCGTAAATATTTATTTGATAGATATTTAATACATTTAAATTTTTAAGTAAAGTGTCGGCATAAGTGAATTTATCTTTATTATATATTAATCTTGATGCATGTTTCTGATGTATGTAGAGTGAATTTAATTTAGTTTTATGGGTACTTCCCCATGCAATATTAGCGTATGTTAGGTAACTTTGAATATAAGAAAAGAAGATAATTTTTAAGTTGTCTTGGGAAAGCATAGGTTTGGCTTTGTAGAGTACGCCGATACTTTTTGATATTTTTGTGTTTATTGTATTAATATGGGCTTTCCAATTAATATTCTGGTCAAAAATTATTCCAAGAAACTTAGTTATTTCAGTTCTTTTGATGTTTATGTTATCAATTTTTAGTGAAGGTAGAGTGTCTGGTATAAAGTTTTTAAGACGGTTGGAGTTAAACAAAATATATTTTGTTTTTTCTGTATTCAAAGATAATTTATTAACTTTAAACCAGATGTTGAGGTTTTCGAGGTCAGTGTTCATAGATTCGTAAAGGTCGCTTATAGATGGCGATAAGTAAAATAAATTTGTATCATCAGCGAACATTATTACATCAAGTTTTTTTAGGGCTTTTGGAAGATCGTTGATATATATTAGAAATAAAAGGGGACCCAGAATGGAACCTTGGGGAACTCCGCATTTTATTTCTAGTAGGTCTGAATATTTATTATGATCTGTAACAACGCATTATTTTCTGTTACTCAGGTAACTTTTGAACCAGTCAAGGGATATATTTTTAACACCATATCTTTCCATTTTTTTAAGTAAGATATTGTGATTAACTGTGTCGAACGCTTTACATAATTCTATAAAAGTCCCTAATACAAATTGCTTTTTATCGAAAGAATTACTCTTGCTATTTACAAGATCTAAAATGGCATGTTCGGTTGAGTGTTTTGTTTGAAACCCGAATTGTTTTTTGTTTAAGAGGTTATTTTGAAGGAGATATTCGTATAATCTATTGTAAACTATTCTTTCAAGTATTTTAGAGAAAGTAGGCAGTATAGAGATCGGTCTGTAATTATTTAATAAAGATGTTTCGCCTGTTTTAAAAATTTGTATAATTTTAGCTGTTTTCAATTTATCTGGTTCAGTACCTGTTTTAATTGATGATTTAAATATTTCGAAGATCGGTTTGCGTATCTCCAAAAAGACATCGATAACGATATTGCTACAAATATCATCTATACCTGGAGATTTATTTATTTTAAGAGATTTTATTGCAACTTCAAGTTCTTCAATTTTTAGTTCGCTAAATGCTAATTCGTCATTGTTATTAGTTAAGTATGTCTCGAATGAGTTGTTTGGACAATTAATTTTTGTAGCCAGGTTAAGGCCTATGTTAACGAAAAAATTGTTAAACTTTTCTGAGATTACGTCTCTACTGACATGCTCTTCATTATTTATAACAACTTTAGTAGGTAAACTATTTGGTTTGCAATTTTTGTTCCCAATTATTTCTTTAATTACGTCCCACGTTTTTTTAATATCATCTTTGGAGTTTTTTATTTTATTTGAGTAATAATTCTTTTTTGTAATCTTTTTGATTTTTTCAAACAAATTTTTATATTGTTTGTAAGCATTTAGGTTTGCTTCATTTCTATTTTTTAAGTATTTGATATAAAGTTTTTGTTTTGTTTTTAAAGATTTTTTAATTCCTTTGGTTTAATACTTGACTTTCCGCTTCAGTGAGGTTGTAATCTAATTTGTTTGTGATCATACGATTAATCATTTCCGTTGTGGCTTTTGTTTTTTCCACCCTTATCTTAAAGTGAAACAATCTTCGGATGTTATGTATATCGAACAAATTTTTTATTGTAATTGGAGTGAATAACACAGTTTTGCATCGAACCAGGAACCGCAGGCACCATAGACGGAGCACTATCCACTAAGCTTCAAGAACTGATAAAATACGAGCAAATTAAAATATACCAGTATCAGATATAATTTGTATTAAGGATATAATAATCTGATAAAAGGTATCAGGCTATTATAAGCCTTGATATTTGGGTTAAGGTTATCTAGGTAAAGCCATTATATATAAAATACCCACGAAAGTTTATTGAGCTTCAAAACAAGTACACAGATGTTATGACTTGCAAAATTAGCACTGCAAATGTTGTGACTTACAAAGCTGCTTAGCGGTATGGCATTTTATCAAAATTTGTGTACTGGTAAAAATAAAAAAAAGTACAAGCGTTTATTTTTATTCGTAAAAGTTAATATATTTTATTTAGATATGGGTTTTACTTAAATCATTGCAAGATATTTTCATATAAACTTCATAAAAAGCATATTCAAAATTAAAAATAAGGTATTTCTATTAGTATTAACAAATATTACCTATTATAAAAATACCAATAAGGTGAAATCTTTCCTAATTTTATGATTTTTATTTATTTTTAACAAATAAAATTGTAGATAGAAGTTCGATTTGTTAAAGGTTAAGTAATTTTATTAGTTTAGTATCAGCTTTTTCTATTGGTTTAAGGTTAAGATAAGTTGAAGGTTATCTATTTAATCCACAACAAAATATCTGAAGCTAGGCCTTTCAACAAGTTATGCAAAAAACAGTGTGTGAAAATTTAGGAATTAGAATTTACAAATTAAATAAAAGTAGAACAAGCATGATAAATTGGTAGGACAGTAGTAATCTTTTTTTTTTCTTTAAGGTACTACAAGCAAACTACAAGCCAGTTTTAAATAATTTCCCAGCAACGCGATCCACGTAGAATTTGCATTTTATATTTACTAATTAGATTACTAATATTTTATAAATTCTTTAAATTATTTTTTAGAAGTTTTTTTAATATTGGTTTTTTAACAAATTTTTAGTTTAAAAAATTATTTCGCATAGAAATTTTTAGTTTTAATTAATTAATTTTTATTCAGGAGTATAATAAGTGTGCAATTTTAATTTTCTGCATAACTCAATTTCATATTAAATTATCAATATAAGAGTGTAATTTTAAAAAGACATACTATAATTCTTTTTATAAATCAAATGTAATACAAGTTTCCCGAAAGAACCAATCAAAGAAAAAAAATTTGCAAAATGGGAAGCGGAGACAATGTTTAACGCTACAAAAATACTACAAAAAAGTTATTTTTGTATCTGTAAAATAGCGCGCAAAAATAACAAAACCTTTAAACCCACCCTTTTTAAAAATAACAAAACCTTCAAACACACCCTTTTTAAAAAAAAAACAACCTTCAAACCTAAAATTTTAAAAACAAAGTTTGTTTTATAAATTAATTATATGTTAGTAAGTTTACTTACTATTTTGTTCAGCTCTGTTTCACCTAAACATATTTTAAAAAATAATAAAATAAAATTAAAAAAATTTTAAAAAAAAAGAATTAAAAAAAAATTAAATTAAAATATGTATGAAAACAAAATTTTAAAACAATAAACTAAAATTCTAATATAAAACCAATGATCTTTTAAATTTTTTTATTATTTTAAAAGTAGATATTTAACGAGTTGAATATTTCATGCTAACTATTAACCAACTTTCTCATTTAAAGTTTATTGACTATGGTTATCTCTTTGTTTTTGACTCTATCAAGGTGTTAATAGAGTTAACAGAAAACACTCACAATTTTTGCCGATTTTGAACCTCGCACTAAAATTGAGGACCAAAAAATGAAAACATTGCCTGTAAACTTAGCGACACTTAGTGTTCATTCGGCATAAAAACTTACAAAACACCGTCTAAGAGTTAAATTTGGGTTTGAAGTTAGAAAAAACATAAGTATCTGTCAATATTTATTTATAAATTTAGAATTTATATCTTTCTATGTTTCATCTAATTCTAATAATTTCTATCTATCTAATTCTATCTATTTCTATCTATCTAATTATTTTTACATAAATCGAGAACTTATTTCTATCTATATTTCCGTTTATATTATAAATGCGATTTTTTATCTTTTATATGATTTTGTTAAAATAAAACCGTTTTAGGGATCATTTTAGGGGTAATTTTTTATTCCTATACGAGGCTCAAAAATAGCAACTAAAAAAATTTGTGCACTATTATTGGACTATCAGTTTCAATCAAAATGTTGAAAAAAACATCACAACTTTTATGCACCATTATTACACTGTCAATTTCCATTAAAATGTTAAAAATCATATCACAACTTTTAAAACAGTAAAAGAGTATATAATATTCAAAGGGCTTTAAGTATAAAAAGCGTTTCATTTAAAAAAAAAATGAAACCCGTTACAAAAAATAATTCGTGGGCTGATCCAGCATTTTTCGCTGTTTTAAATTTAAACTTTGAATGGTCATAATTTTTGAACGCTATTATTTATTATTATATAAAATTTAACATTTATCAATAAGTATAACTTTAGTTGACAATAGCAAAAATAATATCGTTAGTTTGTTGCTCACGTTTAGAGTAATTGTTGCCAAAACTCTAGGGTTTTTTTGTTGCCAGGCTAAAATCATCGTAATTTTTTGAAATGCATCTTTATTTGACATACTGTAAACACATAAATGTTTGAAATTTATTTCAAGGCTGAAAGTTAGTTACTAAATATACAAAAAATTTTGGTTATACCCCTGTAATTTACAGAAACGTTGTTAAAATTAACGAGAACGCGGGAACTCGTAGAAGACCGTAATAGTCATCTAGAACCGCTGAAAAGGATAAGTGTTAAAAGTTTTTATTATGAAACATTTAGATAATAAATAAATTTACAATTAAGAATATTTAAGCTTCAAGTTTATTTATAGTATATAAAAAAAATAGTTTGAAATTAAAAATATAATACTTTGTGTCTGGATGAAACAGAACCGTCATTATTATTACGTCATTATTTTACTTGTAAATATAATACATAATATATATACATATATATATATATATATATATATATATATATATATATATATATATATATATATATATATATATATATATATATATATATATATATATATATATATATATATATATATATATATATATATATATGTATATATATATATATATATATATATATATATATATATATATATATATATATATATATATATATATATATATATATATATATATATATATATATATATATATATATATATATATATATGTATGTATAAGTTCTTCTTGTAAACCTCCATTTTCAAGTTTCCCCAAAAATATTCTATTGGACGAGCTTCCGGAAAATTTGATGGATTTTTTAATTTTGGGACAAAAGGTATATTCTGGTCTTGCCAAAATTTTGTTACCTTAGAAACATAAAATTTTGTTACCTTAGAAACAAAAAATCAAGTCAAAATTTTGTTACCTTAGAAACATAATGAGCGGACGCTAATTTAGGCCAAAACACATAATAACTAGCACTATAATTTTTTTAATAAACGGAAGGAGTTTGATATTTAGAACTTCACAATAAACGTCTTGGTTGATCGCATTTCCAGATTTTATTAAAAAGGTTTTTGTCAATCCTTTAGGTAATATAGCAAGCCATGAAGCAATTTTTGGGAATATTTTTTGAAACTGTTTTTAACATTATCCGATTTCTTATTTAAATTATTAGTGTAGAAAGCGTGATTGCTTGACTGATCAGCGTGGCGCAAAGTTGAGTACGATTCAGACTCGATTAAAAAACCGAGTTTTCTATAATGCTGTAAAAGTTGTCTGCATTATATTCCTAACAACGTTGTTAAAATTAATGGAGTCTCTATATATCTTCAAAATAAATTAAAACATCTGGGTTTTCAATGGGATAACGATACCAGCAAAAATAAAATTGCAACACTCCGAAAGAAAAATTTAAATGAGCGTATAACTCAGTTTCAATTAGTTGCAAAAGCTCTAATCGACAGTGAGATTCGTTACTGCCAGCCATCAACAATTGTTCATCTGTACAATACATTAACAGTGCCGAAGCTTATATATGGTCTTGAACTATGTAAATATGATACTAATTTTCTCAGCAAAATAGACGCTGTTGGAAGAGCAGTCTTAAAATCATTTTTCTGTATTTCGAAGTAAAATAAAAATTACCATCATTCTTTTTTTAAAATAGAAGATATCTCAACTATTCTCCTTAGGAACAAAGTTAATCTTTTTATCAAGCTGCTAAAAAATCAAACTTGTTACTCACTGATAATTAATCAAATACAGGAAACACAGAATAAAAAATCCTTTACAAACGAAGTATTTGATGCATGCAACACATTTGATTAAAATTGATGTTGGTACGCATTTTTAACAACTTGTTAACATATGGTTGAGAGCATCCAAGTTTTCTAGCAGCTACTCTTTGATAACGTCTTGATCTATGATTGAACATATTTTTTAGTTTTATAATGTTACTTTTGGTTGCTATTTTTACTAAACGAGCATTGGCAATTTTTCTTTTTAATGTACCGTTTTCTTTACTTGCTTGATCCAATAATATATTCTAGTTTTTGAGGTTAAAGGTAAAACGTTTTGCAATATCAATTGATTCCATTTCAGGACAATGAATTTGTACAATTTATTTAAACAATAAATTTGTACAATTTACTTTTTATAGTCTTGTATATTTACTTACATATATATATATATATATATATATATATATATATATATATATATATATATATATATATATATATATATATATATATATATATATATATATATATATATATATATATATATATATATATATATATATATATATATATATGATATATATATATATATATATATATATATATATATATATATATATATATATATATATATATATATATATATATATGTTAGTTATAAAAATTATAAAACTGAAAAATATTTGTTTAAAAAATTTTTAGAAATGGATTTTTAATTGTTCTTTTGCACAAGAAGAAAAAAAGGCAAGTAGACGAGTTACTACTACACAAGAAATTGAATTTAAAACTCATTTGGAAGCTATTAACTGCAAGATCCAAGATTTTCATTTAGGTTTTGTAATAAGAGTAGGTTGAAACAAAATAACAAATGGATATTTTTCACTCAATATAACTATAGCAAAGAACTATGATTCGGAGCAGAAAAGTATAATAAATTATTTATAAGTAAAATTATAACTTTCTATATTTAATATTTAACTAATTTTTAGAGAATGTTTAAAAAAATGATAGTTCTCAAGGGTTTTTGTAAAACGTTTGGAAAGATATGTTGTAGGAAATATGTAATGCTGGTGAGGTAGGGATCAGATACATATAATTCTGGTGATGTAGGGACTAGGAGTCTACAAAAGAGTATGAAACACGTCCTCATTTGTAGGTAATCTAGAACATTTCCTCGCATGATGAAGACGAAATTTTTTTTAATCTTCACTACAGGATTCTTGCGCATCTTCTGAAAGTTGACTGATAGGCAGTACTGCTGAATGTTCCATGATATTTTTTCCGTGAAGTAAAACTTTGTGTACTGAAGACGGCATTTAATGGCAGCTATAATTCCTCACACAAAGGTGAGCAATTACTGTAGAATATGTACCAAAACTTTCAGCATTTATCATAACATCTAAAGAGAAAGCTTGCAGAATTATGTAAATTCGCTTGATCAAGATTTCATTTACTCTAATGATTTTAGAAGAGCAGCTTGGATTGTAAAATAGTCTCATAGCAGTATTACCATTATTGGTATTACCACTTACTTATTTTGGTTTGCAGACAATTAACCATTATGCTCACGAAAATGCTTCTGTACCAAGGTCTTCTTCTCTTTCTTTTTCGTTTTTTTTCTTTACTTTAAGCTGAGCATGTTTGAAAAGATAGGTTGTTGAATATAAGTAATATCATTTCCATACAACAAATCAAGGCACCTAATGTTGACAGTTCCTATTAATACGAACATTTATTTTTGCCTAGCAGAAACTTTGGTCAATTTGTTTATTTTTCTTGAAGTAGCTCTATATATTGATCAGGTAGAAGCAGAAAGCGTATCCGTTAATATCTGAGCCACTTTTCCATTTATCATTGTTAAATCAATTATTGACGGCCGTAAAGAGTATATTTGGCTTTCATTTCATCTACAACAACCTTAGTTTTCTGAGGTGTCTCTTTGCAAAATTTTATGCTTATAGCTCGACAAAAATGTACTGATGAATGAGCCAAATTTTGCCAAACATTAGCACCAATTACCTTATCAACTAAATTAAAATAAAAGACTTCTAGAGGCATTTTAATAATCACATTTTCATAAACAAAAGTGAAATAATAATGAATCAATTTAATAAATGAAAAATATATTATTAAACATTTTGTTTATTAAGATAAGTTTTAGCTTGATTTAAATTTCCAATC